AGCCAGTCTGCTGCTCAGCCATGACAGTACTTAATGACAGTAATCAACAAAACCTGAATGTATTGAGTGTGTGACAGGTGCTCATAGGCCTATGAGGCCAATGAAGGTTATAGAGGACAAAACATTGATCTCTAATTTGGTTTGTGAAGCAGCAAGACTCTAACTTCACCAAAAGGACATTTTGAAGTGAAGGTGTTTCCTCCCTTGTGTTAGCTATTTTTGTATTTGAACAAAATCATAAAACATTGACAGGAAGGACATCATTTCTAGAAAAAAAGAATCATAGACCAGTGATGGTAAAGAAAAATTTTAAAGATTATCTAGTCCAAAGACCTTATTATATGGCAATAACCTTAAAGCCCAGAGGGAGAAAATGGCTTCTTCAAGGTCACACAGCTACTTAGTGATAGAGTTAGAAGTAAATGCTGGGGTCTCTGAGATTTGCTGTTACTTAATCCCATCTTAATGGCTGTGATCAAAGGACATAGTTTCTCCCACACATAAATAACTTGACTTTAAAAAAAAGTTGGCTAGGTGACTAATGAACTATGTCTACCATGAAGTGGGCATCCTCAGTCAACCGCCAAGATCTGTTCATGCATATGCTTTTATTTCTGTGCGACAAGCTCTCATTTGAATGCATAAGTGAACACACATACCCCTGTGGAAAGATCATTAACAGAACTGTGGTGGGGCCCACAGGTGGTCAAACCACACTTTTTTGTGAACACTGCTGGAAGTGATGGTGACTTTAAAAGTGCTTGGTGCTCAACTTGGGGTTGTGTCCCAAACATACAAGTGCTCTCTCCTGTGTCATAGCTTCTACCTTGCATATGAATGAAAAAACAAAATCTGTACCTGCAGATGTATCTTCCTCTGATACATTGGCTTGCATGTATGCTTGGTATGTATGTTTGTGCGTGTTCAGTACCTGTGTGTATAATGATAAAAAGACAGACATTTCCTTATCAGAGGGTTTTATTTAGCAGAAGTCTTGCAAAAGAAAATCAGTTACATAGTCCTTTAGTCCAATTATAACCTGCATCAAAGTTGGGTTTTTGTAGGATCTGGTTAATTACATTGCAAACTACTGCTCGTTCTGACATTTAAATAGGAATGAAATTAAACTGTAATAAACATGATAAATGGCTTTAAAGAGAAAAAAGAGATATTGAAAGAGAAGCTGGTGAACTATGTGGACAGAAAAGAAAGCCCCAATTCTACTTGAGTACCTGGGCCTTAGATTTCGTTTACTTTTGTTTTGTTTTTGTGCTATTTGAACTCTCCATTTCAAGCTCCTCCTGGAACAGCCAGGAGAGCCCCTCTCCATGTCGGTGGGATGCCAAGTTCTTCTCCTATTCATGGCACTATAGGGTAGTACTGCTGCCACAGATAAGGATCCCAAACCACTCCATTTTAGGATCTGCTTTGGAATCAGAGCCCAGATTTAGAATTTCTCTCCAAATTCTGAAGGTTATAAAGGAACAACAACAACCACTGCCACCACCAACTCAAAGCAAATGTCTCTGAATTTTCTTTGCCCGAATTCTGTATCAATATCAAACTCTTAACCTTCTGAATGTACAAAGAGGTTTTTATTTTAAATCCAAGGAACAAATGACCTCTTCAAATTCATAATGAGGTATGCATTGAACGGAACACAGCCCAAGGTGAGTCATTCATTAATCATAAACAAAACAGCCCCTGATCAAGGACACATCGGCACACACTGTAAAAAGAGGCTAGGTTGCCCAATTCCTTTATTTAATATTAACTACATTATGTTTTTCATGTGAGTTCTGAGAAGGTGATTTTCTCACTTTATTTGTAGCCAGCTCAGTGTGAATGGATAATTACTTCCCTTAATGCTGTTCCCCCTGAAGGTTAACCCTGTTCAACAAGACAGGATCAAATCTTGCCTCTCATGGGGAGAGGTGGGGGAGAGGGTCTGCATCTGCAGCTGAAGACTTTTAGCTGGAATCCTTCAAGCATAAAAACATCCGCCAACAGGAATATTTCAAATGACATGAATAATATTTGTGATTAATAACAGCTAACCAGCCAAGTACAATCCAAGAAATACATGATTAGCTTATTACAGATATCTGATATACTAATTATCTTCAAAAATTTCATTGCTGATGACTGTTTTGGCAGAAATTTGAGAAAGGGAAGAGGAAATTTAAACTTTTATGTAAGTTGGAAACAAAGCATTTGGGCAATTGGACTTTAGAAGACCCGGGAGTGGTATTTGGTATTTAATTCTGTCTGATGAGAAGGAAATTAAATAATGAGAACAGAAATCACTGTGAAGATTGAAACCTGAGTCAAAGAGAAGTTGGCTGTCATCATCAGAAGCTCTTCCTTACCTTTCTTGACAAAAGGCTCCTGGCACTGAAATAAGCAGGTAACATGATGCGGTTTGGCAAGTTTCCCCTGGGCACCACTCATGGGTGTGAGCATCACTGCTTGCCTTATACTACTGTTCTTGAAGGATTTACTCCTCATTCCCAGTGGGGACCCTTGCAGTGCCAGTTCCTTTCCCATGTGTTCTGGCCTTACCCACATCCCAACTGGATTCACTACTCGGTGTTAAATGGGTGAAACCAGTTAGGCACTGCCACTGAAGCATCATAGAACATCTTAACATGTGGTAGGGGACCCAGGAGAAGATCACACAGCTACTTCATGAGGGAACTTGGAGCAAACCCTCTCATTATGCTGGTAGAAAATCTACCTCCCAGAAAGGGTCAGTCAGTTACCAAAGATTGCAAAAGAATGATAGAATTCTGGCTGTAGAAAGCCAGCCATCTGTTGTGGGAACAGCAAACTAATGTCACTGGGCCATTTACATAACCACAAATGTTCTCAGTCTCACCTTCCAGAAGTTTACAATCAAGAGAGACATTTTGATGTTGATGGCAAACAACATAGGTTTAAAATGCTCCTCAATGAGACTATAAATTAGGAGAGATGGACTCTCCAGAAGGGAGGTTCCCCACCTCCAGCCCTCCTTTCTGCAGCTTAAATGCTGAGATGTTGCTTCCTTATGTTTCTCTCTCTTCCATCTCCTCACATGGATAGGGGGATGTCTTTTATTTTTTTGTATTTTTTTGAGTTGGAGTCTCACTCTGTTGCCCAGGCTGGAGTGCAGAGGCACGCTCATGGCCACCGCAGCCTCCACCTGCTGGGCTCAGGCGATCCTTCCACCTCAGCCTTCCAATTAGCTGGAAGTACAGGTGCACTCCACCACACCTGGCTAATTTTTAAAATTTATTGTAGAGACAAGGTCTCGCCAAGTTGCTCAGGCTGGTCTCGAACCTGTGGGCTCAGGCAATCTTCTCGCCTCCACCTCCCAAAGTGCTGGGATTATAGGTGTGCGCCACCATGCCCAGCCTGGGATGTCTTTTATTCTAGATTCTGGAAGAAAAGAATACAGGTCATGGCAGGCAACTGCTCAGGGGCAGTGACCAAGACCACCTTGCACCTCCTATGCTGGTGTAAGTAGTCTGAGCTTAATGAGTCTGCTCCCTAGAAAACCAGAGAAACTGCATTAAGCAAAGGTCTAGAAAACAATGAGTTTGTCACAGCAGACCAAGAATTAAAGCAGAGCACTCCATCCACTGCAACTTAAGCTTCATGAGGACTGAGACCTAAGCTACATTCACAGCTTTATCCCTGTGATCTAGAGCTGGTCTGACCCAGATTAAACTCTTATTTATAGAAGGATAACTGATTTGAACACTTGGAGCACCTGCTTGGTCCCAGGCTGCAAGGCAACTATAAAGCAGATAAAGGCATTGCTCTCAATAAGTTCTGAGTGAACACAGATAGAAGAGAAGATGATAAGTCCAGTGAACTAGTGGTCAAGAGAGTGGGCCCGTGGGTCAGGGTGGCTGGGTTATTTCCTTAAGTATGCCATTTTTTGGCTGTGTGACCTTTGCCAACCTGGCTGCTGTCTTTAGGTTTCTGTTTTCTCAAACGTAAAAGGTGGAGAATAATACTTTTGACATATATAGAGGATCCTGTGAGGGCTATGAAATCACAGTCGAACAGATTCAACATGGGGAGGGGGGCTGGTGAGCTAGAAACACCAAAAAGTCAGCTAAATGACTACTTTAGTTGTCACCAAAGCTGCAGTTGCTATTGCCTGTACCAGTCTGTGTGTTGTAGGCAGCTTTGATTGAAAAGTTAATCAGCAGGCTTGAGTCTCTATCAATAAAGAGGAGAGAGAGTGATTTAAATACTTGATGATTTTCTTAAAGTCCCTAAATCCTAAACACCTTAAAATGTAGAGATAGCGAATCAAGAGACAATGAAAGATGGATTGTGGCAGGTTTTCATCAGTACAATAACATTTTCAAGAAGAACGTGGTCTCAGAAGTGAGAATTCATTCTTGCTGTGTAACTTAAGAAGGAGGATGGGTACAAAAAGGATGAGAGTTGCTGCCGGTTGGTTGGGTGGGTATTTAGGGGCGTAGGACAAGCCAGAACACTGCCAGAGACCCCTCCACACTATGCTCCTCTCCCTCTAACACTCCTGGCTTTTGCCCCAAGACACTCTGAGTTCTCAGAGGATGTAGACGAGATGCTCTTCTCCTTGGGCCCAGTCGGTTAATAGTGAACAGCCCAAGATGAACCACAGCTAAACATTCAGCAGAGCAGAAGAGCTTTATGGGTTGAAGAGATCTGACCAGGCATCCTGGAAGAGGAGTATTTGCATGAGTTATTGAAAAACAGGAATTTCAGAGCCAGAAGTACATTGAAGTCATCAAGTCTGTCCTTTTAGCTGATGATTTGGAAAGAGAGACAACATGCCAGGTAGTAGAAAACAGACAAAGGAAATACAATGTTTTCTCTCAGTCTACAGTATGTTCTCAGGATGACTGTATTGGTCTTCAGCAAAGGGGTGGTGGTGGAATTATAATAATAGCAACCAGATTTTTTTTGCAGTTTTAATAGTTTTATTTAAACACAAATAAAACCAGCACATGAGCTGTCTATTCATTTTCTTCACTGTACAGCCTTGCATTAGAATTGGTGACTCTGATGGCCAGCTGGGCTGTTCTTTCTTTCTTTTTTTTGAGTTGGAGTCTCACTCTGTCGCCCAGACTGGGATGCAGGGGCCACTCCCGGCCACCGCAGCCTCGACCTGCTTGGGCTCTGGCGATCCTTCCACCTCAGCCTTCCAAGTAGCG